TATTATTGAACAGAGGTCATTATTCCATACTCAATTGCCACCTACATGTTTTAAGGCTAGTTGTTTTCTACATTTCATGGTTTAATATATGGTTTGTATGATAGACGACAATAATAAAAGAGATCTGCATATGTACTACAGACCCGGGCATAGCAAATTGGTGGAAAAAGTATACTCCATAAGTAGGAAAAGTCATTCTCCTAATCTCAGCTTTAGCTGGATATATGATTGAAATATAATCGCTAAATTTAAAATTGGTGATGGAAAGTACATTATTAAACTACCGAAATGTTAAATTAAAATATTCCTTGTACATGTTTAACTAGTTTCTGTAGAAATTCGGTTTTGCTCCGGCTGGAGCAATAATGTAGTCAATAAAAAAGTCAAGCATACTAATAATGTTATCTTAATGTAGAATGTTTTGCCTGATTCTTGTTCTTAACAAAGTTTGTAGAATCGTATCCAACATCTTTGTGTTTTTAGAACACGTTTTATAAAAATTGCTTGATGGGTAATGTTCTTAATGCACAACTTTCTCAATTTTATCACGTGGCATAGTTATTCAAAACTCGAATGTGTTAATTGGATCACATTCTAAGGGATCTTTTTTCCATTTCTCTAAGGTTCTTTGGAAATGTTCAATATTCACACTTGATTTATACCACTTCTTGGGAAAAAAAGACGCCACAGTATTGTTAGAGCCCCTCTTCGATTGTGACAAAATATATGTTAGTATTAAATATTTAGCTGAGTATCTACCTGTATGGCATATCAAATAGTTCGGGGGGGGGGGTCAAATACAAGCTTGGTATTTTATCTATTTCGTGTTTGACATGAATGTATGCATATGCAACATTATTGTTTTCGGTAATCCCAGAAGCATTCATAATGTTATGACTTAAAATAAACACGATATTGTTAGAAGCATTGCCAGCAGGAACAACAGCATATCATGAAGTTAAGGCATATGTACCGTTAAGAAAAGTTGAATGCATCAGAATCTTAACGACATCTTATTTTTATTTTTATTACCTTTTTCAGAATAACAGAATGTACACCTTTTATGAAGGGGTCCTAATGAAGGACATCTTCCCACTTTCGGTTCTAGACGTGTTGAAAACCTTGAAGTACGAGATGATGACGTATACATAGTGACATATACACAATCAGGTGTGACTTTATTATTGTATACAATATTAATATCAATATCAACTGAATTCTATAAAGTCACCATTACTGATAATTTGCCACAATAGAATATGAGATGCATGAACTAATGTAATGGGTGTGATGAAATCACAAATATCAATAATTTGGTGTGCATCTCAAACTGATCTCAATGTAAAAACCTTCACATCAAATACTTTGGAATATAATGTGAGACTCGATGACACTCTAAGAATCTGAAGCAACGAAACCACTTAGTGATGTCCTGCAATTGGCAAGCAATTTCTGATGCTGATATTTTGCAAGCGTCGCATTTATCACAGTGCACATATTATTGAATTGAATTGAATTGAATTGAATTGAATTTATTCACTTAATTTACAGGCAATATTGATAAAAAAATACAATACAAACAACACTGAAATACATTGTGAATAGGAAGCTGGAAAATAGTGTAAAACAATAGTCGAGTCCACCCCTTTTCTAGGTGACATGTCATGTCAGACAGAGAATTAAAACGTCATTACAAACTGTGTAAAATTCTATACAATGTGTGTACTAAAAATAAATTACCAATACTTTGTTCTTACATGAAGGTACAACATGGCTGCAGCACATTGTTTCACTTATATATGGAAATACCCAACTTGCGGAAGTTGATAAGATACCTCTTTACAACCGTGTGCCAATTATGGAGATACACCGACCGCATAATAAAATGCCTGATTATAAAATTCACCGAGACTGATCAAGACACATCTTCCTATAAAACTATTACCGCCACAATTAGTTCAAAAGAACCTCAGGTAATGACAGTAAGTTTTAATAAATTTTGAAATTAGCAAATGATATGCATACAATTAATTATAGATTGTGTTTGCTATTGCTTGTTCAATAACAGACAAGATCATATTTAAACATATGAAACTACTTGTATATTGATAAATAACGGAAAGTCCGATGATTGTCACCGAAGTATAACATAAGTTTGGGATAGTAAGACATCTTTATATCGAGGTTATCTATGTAGCAAGAAATCCCAAAGCCACTGCAGTTTCTTACTACGAGTTCAAGTCACATGGAGACTGTTCCTGAAAGGAATTTATGCCAAACTTTTAAAAAGGACATGGTAAGTAAAATATTAACTAAAGCATATCTAAATTTTTCCTTATTAAGTATATATTCTACTTGTAGTTATCAGACATTTCCATCAACATTCCTCTCAAGATTATGATGAATTTCTGAGAAGGACTCTTAACCATGTTTCTACTTCTGCTAACACAATGATCACAATTATCAATGCAGATTGGTTTGAAAGCGTGTCATATTCGTGAAAACAGAGAGAAAATGACAATGTATTATTTCTAACCCATGAAGACTTGAGTCGAGCATGTTAGCAATTTAATTACAACTAACACACCACATCACAATCGCTACACAAGCAATGATTTGTCTTTGCAATGTATTTAGCATGGATCTGCTGAACTCGCCAGTTATATGTTTTTTTCAAATATTTGGTTAACAATTGTACATGTAAACTAACACACATATATAACAAGATGGAAAAAGTATTACAATAATGAATATGTTCTCGAAGTCGAATACATATTCATGAAGTCGCACATATTCTTTAATGAGTTTACTGTTAATATTGAATCGTGTTGCTCACGAACAAAATATTGTCAAAACATTTCAACCAAAGCAAGTTTATCAAGAGATATTGAATACATAGACGGATAAAAATTGTGCAATATCAATCGGCAACTAAAGTGCAGAGTAGTATTTTTGGAACCAAGTTTCAAGGCTGAATATGTCTTGATATATGCCCATTTATATGTATGTTATTTTTTGCAGAAGATGATTTGGTCATATATGCTACATGCAAAATAGCATTTTGATCCGTTCAGCATTTATCATACACAAATGCCCAAGATGTTTGGTATTTTTTGCCGAAAATCTAAAATGGCGGCCAAACCACGTGAGAGATTGAAAATCATTTTAATTTTCCTCGTAATAATCTGTGGGCATACATATTGTATACAAGTTGCTTGGTTGAAGTATTCATCAGAAACAACGCTTAAAGTTTTGTTCATTTTTGTTATATGCTAAATTTTCTTATCTGTTCTGTTATTGTTTTAGAACCATTTCAGGTTGCAATTTGTATTATCTACTCTATAGATAAACATAAGGATATGAACAATTGGGTATAAAAATGAATTCAGACTAGTAATATTTCTCACAATAATCATTTTAATCAATACATTCATGTTCAACGTTCAATAAGACACAGAAAAGCACAATTATCTCGGAATTGAAATAGAGAAAAGTGAGCAGAAATAAACAGAGACTGTATATAATGAAAAGAACAAAAACCTATTTATATCTCATTGAATACAGGCAATGTTTGATACACATTCTATGTGACAAATGCACCAATCCTTCAAAACCCATGACAATATAGTGTATGCAGTCATCTCTCACATTATATTCAAACATTATACAAGAAACCAATGCCCTCTATTACGCTTCAAGATTACCAGAGATGAAACTATTTGAATAGCCGAACTAGTTTTCCTATAAATCATAGGCTCGACCCGCATCATGAGAACGAATGTATACAGCATGACAACTGATAGAACATAGACGGCGGCATACACCAAAATCCTGCATATTCTTGGGAACAAGTCATTGAAAATGGCACAGTTCCCGTTACTTTTTTTAAAGTTCTATTTGTGCTCGTCATATTAAAGCAGAGGAGTTGTCGCGAGCATGTCCTTGAAACTTGAGTTCCAAGTGGCGTATACAACAGATTGTTTATTTACATCAAAACACGTGTTCCGTGTAGTAGTAATATTGCCAAAAATAAAAACAGCTGTTATTCGGCCATATTTGATCTGATTATGAAACACACTGATATGTATGATGTATGTACCAAATACGAATAAAAATGGTACATAAATTGTAGAAATATACTAGTAAGACGAAAAAGTCAGATGGCTGTCAATCGGCCATCCTTCACCAGATTTTGAAACAAATTGTTATGGACATGCATCCTGACATGTATAAAATACATGTATGTGCCAAATTTGAATGAAAACTGATAGAGCACGTCCAAGATACCGCATAAAAAAGATGCCTGCCAGTCGACCATCTTTGATTCAATTGCGAAATAAATCGTCATGAACATGTACCCTAACATGTATAATCTATGTACCAAGTTTGAATGACAACTGACAAAGCATGTCCAAAATACAAAATTTTCAAAAAACAAGACGGCTGCCAGTCGGCCATTTTGAATCGAATCGCTAAACCACTGCATGTGCATATGTCCCAAATAAGGTACTAGGCATATGCAAAGAATGAACGGAATCGGCCCAGAGGATTCTGAAATATGACTCTGGACAGACTGACGCACGGACGGACACACGGATGGACAGACTCAGTAACTCACGGACGGTCGGGGACATGTATGATCTATGTACTAAATTTGAATAAAAACTAACAAAGCATGTCCAAAATCCAAGATGTGACTCCGGACGGACCCACAGACGCACGGACACATGGACGGACGGAGACCGAATTATAAGTCCCCGTTTTCGGACTTCGTCCGAACGGGGACTAATACATTCAGAATGGATGCACGAACAGGCACAGAAGTTCCATTATGCAATGGGATCATCAAATGTATCATAATACAACTTTATATAGAATTTTAACATTGTATGGTCAGGCACAGCACTGTACAAAATGATAATAACATATTACCTGATCTTACACGCTCATGTGCATGAGAAGCACATCTGAAATTAGTACTTTGATTATTCTTCATACTGTCAAAGCTGCTTCTCAGTGTTATTTCCCGAATTGTTGCATCGTCGCATTTTTTCCCCAAGAAACAACTTACTCTTCGAACAATTGACGAAAGGTCCTAAGAGAAATAAAAACACTCAAATGAAGTAAATTGTCTCGTTTTTTAAATTGGATGGATTTTTCTTAAAGCACAACGACAGAGAACATGTTTTGCCGTGATCCATTATATATGTCAAACTTGGCCCATAATATACTCATAATTCCCAGCCAAGTTATCTTAATGCAATAATTTGTGTGACAGTTAATTTTTTTGTAATATGCGAATTTGAAAACAGACAATAGATAATGAATTGTTGAATTGGTGACAGTGTACTATAATTATGATCGGTTGATTTAATATTTAAACTGGTAATTATATCGTGGTACACTTTCCCGGAAACAAGTTCTAAAACGCTTGTTAACAATATATTCCAATTCTGTAGAAACTTCCAGCTAGCACAGTTTTTATTTTTAACCCAATATAGTCAATTGATACTGTGAAAATCGTAATATTTTTTTGTTGGCTATGACGATTTAATAACAACAAAACACTCATTATGCAATGAAAGAGACGCATCCACGGTCATGTTTGCTTGTATTACACAATGTAAAAATACACACACGAATCATGTCTTCGTAAGTAATAAATAATACATTGTCATCATCTCTATGTTGCCACCAATATGACACGTGTTCTAACCAACTCCCACATATAACTTTTGTAGGTAACAAATCAGAAAACAAAACATCCATGTAAGTACACTTCAAAAATTGTAATGATAAGTAAGTTCTTTCTCAGACTTGTTGTCATCCAAGCGAAGTGTAATAGGCAGGGGAAGAAATATATAGTATATGTACACCATATATACTCACCATGACCTTTTAAAAAGTTTCCGACAAATTCCTCCCATGGCCAATCGCCATGGGCCTTGAATTCGTGATAAGAAACTGCAGCGTCTTTGGGATTTCTTGCCACGTAGATAATCTGTTCATAAAATTAGTAACATTTACAACATTTATTTACGAACATCTTTCTGTAATAATACTAATATATGGTGATATTATCGATATTTACATATGATTGTGTCACGTGTGGCACATAGATAAAATTATATTATTCAACATTTCATTGTATAATTATTAATTTTATGTTTCGTAAATTTTATTCCTGATTTAAATATTTCCTCCTTCGTATGGGTTCAGTCATTGTCACAAGTTTATTGTTTAAAGCACGTGAAATAAGTTTTCATCACCATGGAAGTTTCCTGTATGAAACAAACGCTCCTGATAACCGCTATTGCTATACCTTGGGTTTCTTTTGAAGTATCTGCGGTGGCAATAATTCCACTGGAAGGTGTGTTGAGATTAATCTCGGGGAATCTGCTTTTTCCAGAAGTTTATAATTAGGTTCTTCATTCTCATGAAATGGATGGTATTCCATCATAGGTATGCGTTTGCGAAGAGATATTTTATCAACTGCCTCAAGGTGAGTGCTTCCATATATGAGTGAAACGATATGTCGTATCCACGTGGTACCTATACAGAAACAGCAGAGTGTCAGTCATGTGGTGACACATACTATATCGTAGTGCTGGTATGTGTATAGGTGTATTGCTGTGGGGGGGGGCAATTGAGAGAAACTGTCGTCTTAAATAAACTAATAATGAAAAATAAAAAAACGCCCCTCATCCTACCATTTACTATTAAATATGATATACGAATTGACACACTAATCCAATTGTTCTTGAAAATATAAATATTCATCAGAAGGGATACTTTGTGCTATATGTCTTGTTATATTGAATAACTATAAATTTTTATTAATGTATGTTATTTTATGACTTCTCATTTGCTAAAGTTGTACAAAATGTTTCAAATAATCTGTACCAGGTTAGCTAATGTCTATGCAATTCAAGTGATACCTCTCTTCACATGCATACTTTGAAATAAAACGTCTTGAAAAGAATAACTAACCCACTTCAATCAAGGAAAAATAGGCATAAACTAATTGCCAGCTAAATTGTTTTGTATATTTCAATGTAACGTTTAGAATTTTCATTGTGGCAAGTGTAATATGATAATTGTTTATGAAACGCTGAAGATGATTGAAGGATGCTTGGAACAAAGCGTGTATTATTTGGCTGTTGAAATAAGGTTAGACTATTATTCTATTCTGATTGTAATATTTGATAACTGAACTCTCCAAATTAGCGTTTGTGTTATGATTCTTATATGTTATTGTTATGAAATGCATTCAAGTGATAGTACCTGACACACCTATATTCAAAATGGTTACGCTGTAGTCGCTGATTCTCAATTTGTTTTGGTCTAATAATAAATGCATCTTGTTGCGTATTGGTGGGTTACTGCTACCATTTCTGCTCATAGTATTTCATAAGTGAGTATCAATGAAATGCTAGACGTTTGGTTAAGGGGTTCACATTTCTTCATAACTTGATAAACATGTGCAAACAAGATCGTAAAATGGTTCTTTACATTGTTTTTCGCATAATGCATATTTGTACTTTCAAATGATATTTCTAACTGACTAATCAAGTTTGGTCACTGACTGGTCGAAAAACAACAATATAATGTGCTAGCCAACCACGCAAACGCCTTTTGTATTTTATCTTTTTTCGACCCTTTAAATCATAGCTTCTCTTCTTACTTCCTTTTAATTTAAAATCGAGCATGTTTTTACGTAACAAGCTTCATCAAAGATACCACCCTGTGCGTTCTATTTGACGATGCAAGAGAAAGTGGCCGGCTTGCTGGTAGTATTTCACGTTTAAAAATTTTTTTTGGATAAAACAACTCCTACAAAATGACAGTGCGTATCAAGGTGATTAACCGCAAAATTAAAAAAAAATGCCATACTAGAATTGTTACTTTGCTTTCATTTGCTGGGCTCTTAATAAAGATCACCTTACGAACTGATCCATACACAGGTATGAATGTACCCCGCCAGTACATAAATTGCCATGATTCATAATTTTGAAATTCAGCGAGCAAAGCATATTGAGCCCACAACGTTGGTTTTACTCTGACTTGTCTGAATCCTGAAAATCAAACTATTGCTTACATTTTTAGCTTTCAATTCTCATTCCGTGTGTCCATTTCTCGTGAACAACACCATGTCAATGTAACAAAATTGTAATTGTATTATAATAATAGAACAAAATCTGTCAATCGGAGTTTAGATATAATGAAATTACTATTTCACAAGCTCACACAGAGAGTCGTCGTAATTTGAATTATAATTCAAAGCGTCCTCTAATAATAAAAACAAACATGGCTGCCACCTAACTCTACACAAAGTAGTTCGCTGATTCTGTTCTAAACATTTTGGATTTTATTACTCTCATGGTGTTTCCTTGGAAGGAAAAAAATGTATAATAATAAGGTTATTATGACGATACCTCAAAGTATGTGAAACTCGGGTATTTCTCGCACCAAGTCCACCGCGAGATATTTCGTTTTACACACAATGGAGGACGTGGATAACCGGATTTGGGCTCCGGTGCGAATCTCCCAATTTCATAAATATAACCGTATTCGAATCTCAGGCTAGCTAATTTGGCGTGGTAAGGAGCATACAGGCATTTATACCGCCTGGGGGAACGAACAACTGACTTGTCAAATAAAAATAAATACAAATGCAAGTGTTAAACAAATAATTCATTCAATATAAGGATGCCATAACAACAACAGTTTCTGAACGTTACAAAATATGTGCCTCACAGAAAATATGCGGCAATGTCAATCCCACAAAAAGAGTCCACTCAGATCTGTCCAAGTTTAATCTTCGGCAATCGCCATACCAAACTGTCGAACGTCGTAAACATTTCCGGTACCTCGTCGGCTCTGCCTCGAAGGTCTGGCTGCAATACGATCCGCAAAGCGTTCTTGGTGTCTTCTGGGTTGTTTTCTGATCCGCAGTAAATCGAATAAGTGCCTCTAACGTGTGTGCTACGTGCATGTACGCCGACTTGGTGCTCTACGAAACACGTTAGTGTTCACGGTTTCAAAGCAACCCGCTTTCAGCTTCCGCCATTTTATCTGTGTCCTGCACTTTCTTCTCTTGCGTGCGGAGTGGCGTGACATCCTGGGACGCACAAATCAGTGTAGCGCGTTTCAACAGGCGTCAATCATGAGACCAAAACTTTTCCATGACGTCACAAATATGGGTTACCATAATAAATAACGCACGGGCCCGTAGTAACAAGAAATTTAAAGAAAACTACATACAATTAAAGAAACAGTAAAATTACCCTGGTTTCATATGCACTCATCTGCACATCGGTCGATACTCCAGTTGTACTGCCTTCGTACATACTTTAGTAGGTATTCTCGTAATAACTTCATATAGTTGCAACGGCTTTAATCTACATTAAAATGTTCATGAATGGGGTTCTTTGGGGGTGCTGATTACAAATACTTGGCTTTTACATTTTAAGAGAAACACTTAAACCTATCGCCTGGTCACCGTCATCTTAGATTAAGATGATCGGGACAAAATTTCTATTTAGTTCTAATCTTTTGCTGAAAATATTCGAAATTACCAACTACAAAAATGTATTTGAAAAGAAACGTTTCAAAACTGTGTCAAGATATATGGTATATATGTATATTGCAGAGGCGGGCGAGATTTGATCACCATCCCTCGCGCCGAAAGGCGTGACCTTACTAGGGGGTCTGGGCATGCTCACAGACAAACTAGACCCTCTGAAATCTAGACCCTCTGAAACACTATTTCCTGTATTTTGAGGGGCAAATTTTCAGCTTTCAATATTTCAACATGATTCCATATTTTTACAATGCAACAAAAAAAAACACAAAAAAAACAAACATTTACAAACATTAATTATTATAGATAATTCATAATAAAATGATTAAATCATACCTGATTTGGGATACGTCACTGTGAATACGTCATCATCTCGTACTTCAAATGTTTTCAACGCGTCTAGAACTGAAGCTGGGAAGATTTCCTTCATCAACACTCCTTCATAATAATATAATTTGTACATTTTGCTTTTCTGAAAAAACAAAACAAAATACAACAATGCAGAATATATTCGTATTCACAATCAAAAATGATGGTATAGAGAATATATTAAACAGTGACAGGCTTGAAAATGTTAGTACATGTTCAAAAGCTTTGAACGCTTTGGAATTTGGTAATATCGTTTTTACTAAACACAACAACAACAACAAAGTTTGTAATAGTGACCAATATTTAAAATATAAACCTGACTGTGTTTTTCATTTGCTTTCGTCTTGCACGACGTATGCAAATCCGTCTACTTAGTTACTAGTATATAGAAATGTCATGCAATTATTGTAGTATTCATGTCATCGAATCACAATACAACAGCATTGAAGCAGTTTACAGTAAATGTCAACTTTGGCTTTTATTTTATTTTAATTTGCGATCTATTATTTATTTGTTGACATTTTTTTGCTAATTACAATGCCACGTGTCATATGCTTGTATGTGGCGATAGTTAAAAATATACCGCATCACAAGTACGTAACAAAAACATAAATATTAAAAAATTGTAAAAGCAAAATAAATAAATGAATTAAAATACACGCTGTACAATACATCATATTTTAATCAGAGTAATTGTGTATGTTATAATACTTTCCATGAGCACTAAGACCTGACCGGACTAAATAATACAGGCTAATTTTAGCTTCTTTCCATCACGTGGTTGGGATGAATATTCATATACATTGCTGTGCTGGTATAATGTTTTACATGACAAGTTTTGTTAATTCCACTGACCGTACAGTAAAATTAGGGAATTTCATCCCAATATGCTGTGGTGGCTTTTATGAAGGCATATAATGTATTTTACAAGCTTTCATTACGATGCGTAGGACCTACAAGGAGTAGCATTGTATATTTTTTCTTTTAAGTAAATGGTGAAATACTTACAGGTAATTAAAATATAGAACCACGAAAGCAAAACATTACTTGCTGATTCCCCGCTATGGTTATCAATATGACCTTCGAGACACTTTATAACAAGTCAACAAGTGTTTAGTGAAGACGTCACTAATTACGTGACAGTGTAATTTCAATGTAATGTAATGTAATGTTGACATCGCACCCGTTTACAGTCGTCACAAAAAATGCATTGCCACTAACCTTTCCTAGACATACATGGTAATATTTTAATGAAAGTAAGCTTAGAAAGAACTACCGTACTCTGAAGCACATCTTCAAAATAGAAAACAAAAATTGTGTTTATTGCATGAAAATCATTGCAATATATCTTATTTATTGCAACTTGTCTTTGTCATTCATATTTACAGCAAGCACTGTGCTTCTAATAGAGCAAATACAGCATTTTAAAATATAACTGCAAGCAATGATTAGGGTGGTTCCAAGTACCATAGTTTAGTAATTATAAATATTATATATATATAAATATCAACAATTCCCAAATAACATTTTTTGAACAACATGGTGAAACGGCAGTGGGCTCAAACGTCGTAGGGAAGTGAAGCATTACGCAAACGTTATTGATTCGCTGCGCTGCCTCATTAGGATTTATAAGGAATACGTGTCGGTGTGCCCGAAAGAAGAAAATTTAAAGGGATTTTATTTACAGCCCCTCCGAAAATACGAAGAGTCATCCAAAATCTGGTTCAGCAAACAACCACTAGGCCACAACTTATTGAAACTGATTGTACCGGAGTTATTTAAAGCAGCGGGGATAGATGGGAATTTTACCAACCACAGTTCATGAGCTACAGCGGCTACTAGTCTCAACGAAAGTGGTATTGACGAACAGCCCATTACGGAACATACAGGACATCGTTGAGTTGAAGGTAAATATACTTGTATTATATTACCAATTGCCAGACTTTCATGCACCGCCAGTTACATTCGTATTTAAAAAATGAAGTGATCAAAACGTATCAGAAACGATTCTATTTTTATCCAGTTTTGCTACTGGGCCACTTCCTATGAGACAGATAGAATTAGATAGAATTCTATTGTCGTGTAGTGGAGGGGGCGGCAGCATCTCAAACTTGTACGAGAATTAACTTTGTCCTTTTTCCAATAGGAGTTCGTAGCTATAAACGATCGTCCCAGAACTTGGAGAAGAAAGTCAGCAATTTTTAAATGGTGCCAGCTCGTCTTGTTCAGATCAAGACGTTTCAGTTTCCAAGAAGATGAAAACCGACGCAAATGAAGATGAAGCACCGAATGTTTACATCGAAGAACTGTGTTTTCAGTATTAATATACAAAAATCGATTGATTTCGTTGTTAGTTTCAAATCTATGTAACAATTATAATCAACCATGATGTAATAAATATTCATGATTGTTTATTTGCATGTTTATTCAGAGATAAGTTGCGATATAATTCCTAGGCTTTGCCGCCAAATGATATCACGACCGTTCCGACGGAGTGATAAATTCGAGCCAGGATATCAGAAACGAGATTATTTTCTGATATCCTGTCGGGTGTGGGGTCCTGACGGTTTCGATATCTTCGCCATGCAAGATATCTCCTTCAAAATATCATCCCAATACGTGGTCATTCTCGAAAATATCGCCCACCTTTTCTATTGTTAAATCACTGAGAGGAATCTATATATCATTAGAGACAATGCCAAGCTCGTACATTTACTTTGTA